ACCTTTTTTGTTAGAATCATCAAGTCTGATGAAATAAAAAACAAAACATAAGTTTATTGCTTGTCGGAGCGTCATTTTCCAAAGTATAGTATATGATACACATTCCATGTTGTACAGTATCTTATTATAATAATATATATTTCGTGGAGACTTTTATTAGATACCTAAATGAGTGTCTGTTTCCAAAAGCTGTCTAGCTATATCTACACTAGCATACAAATGATCTGTGAAAAGTGTTTGTTCAAAAGGTCACATCAGAAGATATAACAACCCGAAGGGTGCTATTTACCTGGACATTATTTTTGCCTTCATAAATATTAACTTTGTAATTGTAGCTAGGCAACATACGCAACTCTTGTATACTATATAAAGGATATCTGACATGGACATTGTTCATAAAAAATACAACAAGAAGAGAAGTGAGAAATAATATCATAAAATAATAATAAAAACTTACAAAAATAAATGGCTTCTTCAGGTCCATATTGAAAACTACAATGGACAACCTGCATGAATAAACATAAAACTGATGATAAAATCAGAACACAAGTAAAAACAATTAACAGTGCAATGCTTTTTCCAAACATTAATAAGAGATGCAAATCATACTTTTTTTTTTTTTATGTGAAAAGTTGCCAAACGAGCAGACGGTTCACCTGATGGTAAGTGAATACCGCTGCCCATGGACATCTGCTACACCCGAGGGTTACAGATGCGTTGACAACCTTTTGAAAATTGGGCTCCGGCTACCTCACTCACCAGACGAAACGCGAAAGTATTTGTCATGCTTCCACTTTACGCTGGTCTTCTGTGAGGTCGTGGTACTTACCCGGACGGGCTGCCCATTCGTGCAACGGCCGAGGCTGCTGCGTGGCCCTACCACCGTACTAACTTATATTATTAATTTACTTATTACTTTATATATTAAAAATTACAAATGAAGCTTGGCAATAATTAATTACAGATATTCAATTTAGGGGTAAAATTTTGAAACAAGTCGCCTTCATAGAGAGTCAGGGGGAGGGTGATGTGGTAGTCGCCCCAATTTTGCCGCCCACCCTGCTTCGTTCGCCTCCGCTGGAGATGCATAGTTATTTTAATATGCAATTTTTTAATTATTTAATAGAATCTAATAAGAATGTCATGGCGGAGGGTTCCTCTCCCGCCTTTTGTCCTTAATCAGACTTAACAAAAGAGGCGCTAATGGGTTGTTATAAAAACAATAACCACAAAGGTTAAGTCGGTCTTTGCTCCCACATGAACCTGATCTATCCAAGTCGGACTGCTCTGTCTCATAAAATGAAAAATAATAATTTTAACAAACAATTGATACAAGTATGAAGTCACCCGCTTCCCATTGTTTCTGAAGTCAAGTACAAGTTTTAAACAATTTTTTTCTCGTAAATTAAATGTGACTGGAGTATTCTGCTTGTTGATTAATTCATTAGTGATTTTTCTCTATCGTTTTATTATTCACATCGTCGAAAACACTAAAACACTTTTATCTAAATAACGTTCCATTTCATGTTTCATAAGATTTTTAGAAAATAGCTTATTAAATTTTTTACGCATCTCTGGCAGAAAAAAGTGCATTAGAGTGTTTGGTACGAACCTCCTTAACCCCAGCACACTTACAGTGTAGGTACTTAAGTTCGGGCGACTCGATTCAAAACCCAACCCCAATTTAGTAACACGGGATTACTAATAATAAGGAAGAAGATTTTGTTTATGGTGTACTTTCTAATAAATCTTAATAAAGAAAATAGAAGCATATTCTTACCTGTATTGGCACTAGTAGAAACAATCACTACCTGAAAAATTTTAAACATCAGCATATGAATAATGTTTTTATAATATCTACCTTTACCTTTTATTTAAATATTCACTAATAAGATAACTACTCAACGGTCGCACTTAGATCCGATATGATCTTAGTTATGACTACTTACCAATTTTTTTTATATATTAATAGATCACCATTACTTTTCATTTAAAAATAACATACACAGAAACCATTTTTATTCATAATATTTGGTTTGAAAAAATCAAAACAACGGTAGGTACCTATACGATCAATGCAAAATTTTAAGTTTGACACATGTCATCATGACAGAAACAGATTAGCAGAGCAACGTGGAGTGGAACAGACTATTAATAAATAAATATGTAATAGCTTTTGTTTAATTTATTTAATATATCCGATATTTACAACATTAACGCCCCGTTGCTAATCGATTGAAACACTGATCAAATAAAGAATCCTGTAAAATGGAATGTAATGAAAGAATGATTGCTATAAATGTTGAAAGAAAATGGTAAAATGATACAACTATTCACGTGTAGGCGAGTTTTGTCATTTGGTTAGAGATATTCATTTTTGCAAGTGCATTTCAGTGTACTTAATATGGTTGAAACTTAAGAATCGGGTTTGGATGTGACGGTTTACTTAAAAAAATAGACCAAGTGTGAGTGCGACTTGCACACGAAGTTCCGTACATATACCTATAAAAACGGCAAAAAAAAATTATGTCTGTGTTATAAGCGCCCTACTTAAATATTTTCTTTTGTTTTAAAGTATTGGTTGTTATAGCGGCAACCATAGATAAGACGTATATACTGAAGCGGCAACAGAAAAACATCTATGAAATTTTCAACTGTCTAATTATCACGAAATAAAGCCTGGGGACAGTCGAACAGACAAACAAACAGACAGCGGAGTCTTAGCAATAGGGTCCCATTTTTCCCTTTCGGTACGGAACCCTAAAAAATATTTATTGGTATTCCACTCAATTGATGATTGAACTGATGATTTTTAGTAATAATGATAGTTCGCTTTGTGTCAGAGAACTTTACTTTGTAAAAAAAAATAAAACAAAATTGTGTGAAACATTTTATTTGCAGTTGTAAAAACTGTACAAATCCTAACAAACTTACAAATTAACATCTATTATGGACCTTCGCATGGCACTGTCGACATAAGCCACAACACTTCGATAATTCCACTGTACTCTTAGACTACCATTCATAAGACACGTTTAAGTTAACAATAAGTGTTATTAAATAACGTAAGTCAGTTCATAAACTTGGTGTTTTTGTTAAATATCTTATGATTAAAATGACGCTTTAGGTATTGTTCGTATTTGTAGTCTAAGATAAATGGTTAAAATATCGTAGCTACTATAAACGTGAAGTTTTCGTTATTGGCACTCCCTAAAAGTCAAAGAAACGGTTTGGATAGTTTTTATATTGGAACAAATTCGTATTCTTATTGCTAAAATTGCGCGTAAACAATTATTATATTTACAACTGAAAGCACTACATTTTATATGGGCATTTAATAATTTTGTCCTGGGAGCTTATCATGCCCGAGTGATAGTAAAGTTACAGGCTTTTTGCTTCTAAAGTGAAAAATTTATGAAGAGGCTATAATATAACGTCGAAAGAAAAATATTTAACTCTTGTAAAAGCCACCTGAATTTTACACTCATTTGAATGTAATCCTAATAACGGTAGCTAGTGTTGTCAGTACCTTAATAATGGTTAACAAGTTGTTAATGAATAATATGCTTACTTACACGATAGTGTATATTCGAATAATATTTTATTAAAATGACGCATTAACAATTAGATCAACAAAATCAATGTATATAATAAATTTAATAAACAATAAAATAACAGTTTGAATATTGGCATCGAATTTTCAATTTTGAAAAGGATATGATTATCATTCATTATTTGAAATATCCTAAACACTAGCAATAACGAAAGAAAATGCATACTGTAATGAAATGTTATATATAAATAACTAAATCTTACATATGATGAATTATTTAAAAAAAATAATATATAATGAAATCAATAAATAAAATACCATTCAGTGTAGAAGTTTAATAAAGAATAAAATAGAAATGTAAGTCTTTGGCTTGATTAGTAGAAAGTTTTAAAATCTAACTTCAGACCCATTGTAATTAAATATACAATGGATTGTTCATATTGTAAAATAGATATTGTAGCAATAGTCAATATAAGATAAAAGTTTAAGTTAACTAGTTTGAATATTTCATTAAGATCGCTAATCAAAATGGAGTCCATAACTGCTAGTGTTTAAGAGGGCAACATTAAGATTAAATTATTTCCATGTTCCAAGTGACAGTGTATATTTTAGGTTTTATGAATTATTCAATTTCGTAACTAACACTGCAAGATACATTCGTGCATGTTATTTATTAAAAAATTCCATTAATTGTTCGTCAATTGTATTGATATAAAACACATATAAAGGACACTTCCCATTTACATTATTTATTAATATAAATACTGAGCAATTCAATTTTTTACAAAAAAACAAATAATTTAAAGTTATAAATCTGTTTTTTTTTTTCAAATAGAATATAATAAAGTTCACACCGAAACATGTTATTTTCAAAACTAATGTAAACGTTAAAAAAGTTACTTTCTATCCTCTCAATTATTAACACAAAGTAAATTTTTCTCAAAAAGGGCAATTCCAATTAAATTCCGTTTGACCCTACACCGTATTCATAGTGACTAAAATGCGTTTCTAAAAATATTCTTTTTATTTACAATACACAAAGTTACAAACCGGTGGTGAAGGAGACAGAAAGGAGAGAGAAAGAGATAGCTTTAAAGAGAGAGAGAGAGAGGAAAAAAAAGTTAAATAAAGTAAACGGGTGAGTCGTTAATTAATTCGTTGTAGAACAACACGTAATAAATAATATTATATTATAGATCTCTAATAACGCTCAACAACTAAACACTAAAAGTTATAAACAACGGGCGAAGTGTGATGCGATTCCGCGCGCTATTACTGACGCTGTAACGTGAACTGTTGACGTTGTAGCTTTACGTTAACGGTAGACGTAATCGGGTTAACGTTAACGGTTAGTGTCGAAGACGTGCTAAGGGATTGTGGCGCGGTGGAGAGAAACCGCAGGACACTTCGCAAGGGTCCGCTTCGGCTTAGGCCCCAAAGCCTCTCAAATAGGCCGCGTGAAATTGGCGGGGAACATCCCCTTCTCGTTGGTAGACTCTTTGATGCCCATCAGCCAGCCTTCCTCCTAAAAGAGAAGAGCCGCGATTAACCATGAGAAGCTTTACCCAGGAGCAACTTGACCAGGAATCGAATCCCGATCCTTCGAGGCCTTGAAATTTTTTTGTGAGCAGTATTGCTGTTGGAGTTGTTAAGGTCATTGCGGTGGTTGTTTGGATTTCGCCAAGGTTGGTCGTTAAGATGGTCGTGAAGTTTTAATGTGAGAGAGTGGCATAAGAGTATGTAGGGCTGCAAACGCGTTGCCACCTTTAAATAAAGTGGGCCCCGGCCACCTCACTCACCAGACGAAATGCAGAAGTGTAACACTTCTACTTTACGCCGGTGTTTCTGTGAGATCGTGGTACTTACCCAGACGGTCCTGCCCATTCGTGCAAAAGTGAACATTGCCTGGTCCTACCACAGTTAACGGGGACATGGTTATGTGCGTGGTTTTTAGGTATGACTGAGGCGGGTTGGTCGTGGCGTTGGTTGTTTGCATATGGGCAAGGTTGGTCGTGTGTTGTGTACGTGGTCATGGAGTTAATCGTGTGGCCGTTGACGCAGAGATCGTGATCTGAATGGTTTTAGGTGTAGCTGAGGGGGGTTGTTTGGGCGGTCGTGGCGTCGGTTGTTTGCATATGGGCAAGGCCGGTCGTGTTGTGGGCGTGGTCGTGTATTGGCCGCGTGGTCGTGGGCGTGGTCACCTGCTCGTCGGGGTCGTCGTACTCGACCACGCGGATGACGTCGCCCACGTCGAACGAGAGCTCGTCGCTGTCCTCGCGCGTGTAGCGGTACGTGGCGCGCACGCGGTACAGCGCGCCCGCCGGCAGCCCCGCCAGCGTCGCCCCTGCGACGCGCCAAACTCAGCCTTGCGCCCACGCCGCAAGGGCCACAGTCGCGTGGCGAGGGTTTAAGCGTGGTTCAGGGTTGCCGACAGTTCATTTCACCGATCGTAGTGTTTTTCAAAATTAGCCGTACATTCATTGCTAAGGCGAAGGATACAGTAATATAAATTTGCTGTTTATTTTTAAAACCGATTAATATATTTGTGATTAAATTTGATATGAACGAAAAATATGGTATTTTACTCACACTTAGTACAGTATGCAGTACCTGAGATATAGTACAATACCATATATTCTATATAGTACGGTTGGCAACCCTAACCACGATCGTCGTATATATCGTATAGTTATATTAAACTATTATAAATTTCTACGGATATACATATAGAACTTCGTAGGTGAAAACTAGTTTTAGTGCAATTCGATTTTGTTCATAATATGATTTCAATATTCTTTCCCTGAAACTTATATCAAGTCAATGCAAGTACATTGTTTCATAAAAGGTGACTTTAAAAACCGCGGTGTACCTATATCATAAATAGTAGGTTACTTTGAAAAAAAAACAGTATGTTTTTATGAAGGGACACCACGTAATTTGCAATTTTTTTTTTCAAGTACAGTACAGAAACTACTTGTAAATAAGAAAATGACGGCGGTGATCATTTGAGCCATTGCCATCAGACGAGCCCCCTGCTCATTTGTCCCTTTTTTCATTAAAAAAAAAACACAAAGAGTAATGTATCCCACGGTGTTTATAAAAGTTTATATGATGTTTTTGCTAAAAAATAATGTGTGAACACAGAAACGTTTTTTATTACTTATTTCCTCATCCACAAAAAAAAAAGGTTTCATAATGTTTATTACACCGTCTATCCGAAAACTGATGTCAGTTTATATTTTAAAACATATAATAGCCTATGTCTAAAGTCTTAAGAGGAAAACAACATTAACATAAATCCACACAAGTCACTCTAAGCAGTCGACCAAAAAAAACTATTAACACACAAGCACATACAACATTGAAGAATAGTTAGAGTATTAGTGCAGGCAAAAAAGGGTAGCAATAACAGATAATAAAAAGCGCGTAAAACATATACATAGATAAAAATAATCCCGACCTGAAAATAAATATAATATATAAACATATAAAGTAACAAACATGTAATATCATAAATACTGAAAAATTAAAACTAATGTTAAAGCCATTATAACCAACCAACCTACAGAAGATAATAATTTACAACAGATTATAAAACTACAACTTACACAATGTTACATCATTTTAATTTTTAAATATAAAACAAGAAACATTTGAGTTCCTTCACCGATATTTAATTTAATATTAGGCTTGGAATATTATAAGTTAACATATGTATTCGATTAATAAATATTAGAGTCTTCAAATTTATGAAATAAAATGATTTGAAATAGTGAATTTTACCAGTTACAATGAATAGTATTAATTCTTATTAAGTCTCCAGAATGAATTTTATAATAACATGAAAGTAAAATAAGTCTATGCTTCGAAGCACCTCTTCAACGGTGTAAAAGTTTTTTTTTGTGATTTTTTTTAGGCTAATTAAAATTCAATTTATGTTTAACCAAATAAAAAAAAAGTTTTAAAGCTCTTTAAAATGTCATGTACATATTTCTTAAATAGCCACCTTGCCACCAGTTGTCATGCAACAGATTATACAGCGTGTCTTTACCATCGCGACAATAAATGAACACACATATAGGGGATAACTTTTTAAAGTTGTATTAAACATTTAAATTCTTTAAACATCAATATTTACAGAGTTATAAAATTTTCCAAAAGTCTGAATTTTAGAACTCGCTTGCCTATAAAAGCGTAACGTAAAGTTCATTTGTAAAGGTCACAAAGCATATGAATGGGTTGAATGAATTTAAAAGAGACAAAACATACTGTTAGAAGGAGATGCTTGTAATACGACGCTGTGGCGCGAGTTGTATAGGATATTATATGTTTTGTTTCTTTTTTACTTAATTAGTTTGTTTGAAAAATATATTTTTTTTAAATTTTGGATTTTGTTTAACGTTAATATTTTTTATGATTATTGGCAAGTAGCATTAGACGTGTGTTCATTTATTGTCGCGATGGTAACGACACGCTGTATAAGCTGTATTCTCATAAAATTTTCTAATTTTCTCTGTGGATCGGAACCGATATACCAAACCTACGTGAGTCAATTGCCATTAGTTAGAGTACAAGTTATATATGTAACATTTGGGGTTACGCGTTGAGACCACTCACCCACGGGTATGTCGTAGACCTCGTCGCTCCTGCTCTGATTTTGGTTCTCCGCGTCTTTCTTCTCTTTCTCCGTTTCCCTCTCTTTAGCCTTGTCACCCCCCTTGTCCGTCTCTATTTGCGTCTCGCTCTTTTCGTCGACGTTATTATTCACGGTCTCCGTCGGTTGCGGCGACCCTGAGGAGGTCGATCATTCCTACATCTACTCGCGGCTGACCCTCAACTTTATGACGTCACACGGCAATCCATCCGCTTTTTATTATTTGTGTTTCGATTAAACTTCTTACATTTCGTGCAACATCTACGTAAAACTGTATCGTTGCGCTTTACAATTGAATGCAGATATTATTTTGGCCACTGTTAAAGTATCAATTTAAAAAAAAAATGAAAAATATCACAAAACAAACGGTGTTATAAAAGTTGAGTAAAACTGATGCGTTTAATAAATAACAAAGCAAACTATGCTTATATTTTAAATGCAAATTAACTAGTTACTGAGAGGGAAATAGCGTTTACTTTAAAAGACTTGAGAGGTTTCAAAGTTTAGCTTTTATGCATAGATAGGTCGTTACCACCAATCAAGTCTTTCTTACTCGATGCTCCATAAAAGGGTCCTCCTGTCTACCCTGTTTTGAGACATTACTAAGATATCCAAATAATTCGTAATGCAGGTTAGTTTTTAAACAGTTTAGTGGTTATTTTAGTGGTTTTCAATTGGCAATGTCGCAATCAGAGTACCAGGCGCGCATACTCACCGGGAGCTTACTCGTGCGGCACTATGACGCGGTCGCCTAGCAACCGAGTTCGACGACCTCCGCCAAAGCTCTGCGGTCCTAGTAGCTAGCACCGACCTTCAAATGTCCCTCCGAGTACCAGGGCGGCATCCGTTGCGGTGAGTACTCACCGTGCGGCGACGCGTCCACTTCGGGCTGGGCGCGCGCGTTGTTGTTGGCGCGCGCGGGGGGCGTCGCGGGGGGCGCCGGCGAGGGCGGCGGCGATTCGGCGTCCGGCGGGGGGGCGGCGGGGGCGGGGGCGTCGGCGGCGGGGGCGGGGGAGGGGGCCGCGGGGGGCGGGCTGCCGGCCGGGCTGCCCGCGGATCCGTTCAGCGCGGGCGAGTCGGGCGCCGCCGCTACGCACACACACGCAAGCCGCGTTCGCACACTACACTCACCGCGACCGCGCACACACACACGCGCATGCCGAACGCGGACGGACGCACGCACACACGCACACGGGCATGCCGCGGTCGATGCACTCTCCGTCTTTTATGCTCTCCCGGTTGCTCAGCTAGGGGCCCTCCATGAATCACATGATTAGCATTTTTTTTAATCCGCCCGCCCTGGTGGACTCTTGGTGAGGTTTCAGACTAGCCCCCTGCTTAAAATGCCGGACATGTACAGGGCCATTTTAAAATTTTTACAATATACTTAAATACGTAAATATAATCTCTAACTGAATTCCGGAAAATTAAGAACCCCTCATAAAAATGTCCAGACGGGCTTTTTTATGCTGGACGGGGAAATCTTGTCTGCCAGCGGCTAGTCAAGCTCACCCGACACTTTTCGGCATTTAAAAATCGCGCGTTCAACGAAAAATAAATACAATTTGTCCTGTGATATTTCTTAATTATTACTGAGGCTCACGTGATTAATGGACGATCCCGTGGGTGCATTTAGGTAAACCAACTTGTAACTTGTGTTTGGAAACCGTCGGTATCAGTAACGAAACGATTGCAACAATAGTTTGCTGCTATATATTGGCCAAATCGGCTTTTATAACTCAATAACGGTTATTTTCCACAAAGATGGTATCATTGCGATATTCGCTCAAGAAAGAGTGCGAAGAGAAGAGTGCATTTTCGCGTTTGAGTTGGCAAATCTGTAGTTATCATAATCGAGTCTAAAATTTTTATTTAATTTAAAATGCATATAATATTGTAGATTATGGTAACACTAGATTTGAGAACTGGTACAATACTATTACCTAAAACAGTTACCATTTTTGTAGGTAAGGAGTTTTTGCAGACAAAAAACTAAAAGCATATCATGACTGCGACACCCCACATACAAACGGTAGTGACTTCAAAAAAACCTTTGCAATGTACGACCAGCCATATGCTTAGAGATTTAGTTGTTTTAATATAACTAGCAAAGCTTCACACTGCATTCCGTAAGGCGCGGACTGCGATCTGACAGACGACGTCCGTTAAGATATGAAGTTTTTCAAATTCAAAAATGGTTCAACACAAACACAAGATTTTCGATGTTTTCTTCAGCTTTTCCGAGGAACAAAAGAGCATCGAGCCTCAAAGTTTCTACTTTGAGGGGTTCTCAATTCAAAATGATCCGGCTCGAAGGACCAGAACGGGAAACGTCCATATACAAGCCTCTCATTCCCTACTCCGTCCGGATTGTAAGAGCGTGCGTATGGCGGACGGTGGCCGGTCAGATCGCGTCCAGGTCTCGTTCCACTCACGCTGCACTTCCGCCTGGCCGTTCTGCGCGTGCGGCGCCACGTTGTTGTGCTTCTTCGCGTACGAGCCGCGCTGGCTGTCGGTCGCCAGCTTGTCCGTGATCGCCTCCAGCTCGGCGAACACCTGCGACGGGCACGGGACCGAGGAAAGAAAGAAATATTTATATGATACATAAAAAAAATAACAATCTCTTGAAATGACAATCAAAAGTTAGATATCAATGCACCAAAACGGTCACCACTCAGCATTACATCACGAAAGAAGAAGGGAAATGATGTCGGGAGTAGAATAAAGTTGAGATAAGGTAATGAACGATGAACCATCATCATGTGGGAATGATTACTAGTCGGAGGGAGTCAGGAAAGGAGCATAGAAAAAAGATAACTTCAAATCCTATTCATCTAGGTCTGTAGAAATTGGAGATCTACTACAAACTCTACCATTTAGAAGTTTTTGCTATGTTTCTACTGGCACTCACTTTGGAGGTCTCCGAGTGGAAGAGCTGCTCGGCCGAGAACAGGGTCTGCAGGTTGTTGACGTAGAAGAGGACGCGGGAATCGAAGAGGGCCGGGAGTTCGTCGTGCAGTTCCGAGTTGAGCATTTCGTATGTGCGCTTTGCCTCCTCCAGTTGTTCGCGGCCCTTCGTCACCTGAAAGCGTTGTCGCCACCATCGGATGCTACCTCTGCCGGCGACAAGCATGCCATAGCATGCTTGCTCCAGCGGCAACAAGTCATAGGATGATTCTTCCACCGGCAACAAGCCAGGCCATAGGATGCTTAATCTACTGACGATGAATGATAATTGAATGGATATTATAATTTCGCGTTTCGGCTGTTCAGTGAGGTATGCGGGTACCATTTTTTTAAAGGTTGACTATTAGTTCGTTTGTTTTAAAAACGTGTACCATGTTTTTAAAGCGTACCAATTTTTGTTTTTTATAAAAATATATTACAGTCGTGATAGCTCAGTGTCTTGGCGCTCGCCTTTAATTGCTCCTTATACTCGAGCAACCTGAGTTCGATCCCCGGCGCCGGCACCGATGAAGTTTTTAACTTTAAGTGCTGACTTATTACGTGCTTCGCGGTGAAGGAAAACATCGCGAGGAAACTTGCATATTTTTGAAATAATTACAAAAAAAAAAACGAAGATATGTGAAGTCCGCCAATTCGCAGTGGGGCCGGGTGGTGGACTATGCCCTGATACCCTCTGTATAGAGGAGGCCTTTGCCCAGCAGTCAAAATCAAAATCAAAATCAAAAATATATTTATTCAAATAGACGCTTGCGCGCTCTTATGAATCGTCAAATTTTACATCAAAGATTATGTGTATAGGTTCGTAAGGTACCACCGGTGCGGAAAGCGGTTTCTGTTGAGAAGAGACCGGCAAGAAACTCAACAGTTGCTCTTTTTCAAAAATATCAGGGTACAATATAATATACAGGTATAATAGTCTTATTCTAGCCTACGTGAGTATCAGCAGTATTAACTCCACACATTGGCGTCGTCGAGATATTCCGAAATGGTATAATATGCTTTAATCATCAGTTGATTTTTAATTTTACATTTAAATTGGTCAAGCGGGAGACTTAATATCGACTGTGGGATTTTATTATACATGCGCACACTTTGCCCCATGAACGACTTATTTACTTTTTGTAGACGAAACAATGGCGTAGTAAGTTTGTCCTTATTTCTAGTGTTTATTTTATGTCTGTCACTATTCTTTAGGTAATAATTAAGGTTATGACGTATATACAAACATTACAATAAATGTATTGACAAGCAACAGTGAGTATATTAACCTCTTTGAAAAGATCTCTGAGTGAATTCCGGGCTCCGATATTGTAGATTGCTCGGACAGCTCTTTTTTGAAGAATAAATATAGAATTTATATCTGATGCACTACCCCACAACAAAATGCCGTAAGACAAGATGCTGTGAAAATAACTAAAGTAAACAAGTCTGGCAGTGTCGATGTCTGTTAGCTGCCTAACCCTTCTAATCGCAAAAACCGCGGAGCTCAGCCTATTCGCAAGAGATGATATATGGGGACTCCACTGGAGCTTTGAATCTACTGTAATTCCCAGAAATATAGCAGTCTCAACTGGATTAATGGGTACGTTATTTAATATTAAACTAAAACTTTTCCTTCTTACACTGGGAAGGGTAAAAAGAATACATCTGGTTTTTTTGGCATTTAATACCATATTATTAATAGTAAACCAATGGAGGATATGTGAAAGTGCACTATTCACGTCGTCATAATTTAATACGTTTCGGTCAACTTTAAAAATAAGCGATGTATCGTCAGCAAACAGTACAACATCACACAACCCACTGGCATAAAAGGGGAGATCATTAATATATACTAAAAATAATAATGGGCCCAAGATTGATCCTTGTGGGACTCCCATTTTCATCTGGGACCCAGCGGGACATGTATAGGCTGTTACTTTACTTTTATAAAAATATTTTTTTTAATTCAATTCAAACTTAAATTCAGTGTTACTAATGTAACGTGTGATTTCATCATTTTGTCTAAATTGTTGTTTTTCTAAAGACTAGGCTGCATGTCATATGAACCTTTGCCTTTTCGAAAGGTCGAATCAAAAAGTTAACTTCATTTGGTTGTACTTGTCATTTGAGATTGCCGCCGGTTCAAATTGGCATTGGATAAATTAGTTTTTGTGGATCTATTATCTTCGACTGGTTTTGTTCATGCCAGTGGTTGTTTTGTTTACGTACTTCGTTTTCTTATCAATTCGCTTTTTTACAGAGCATGGCTAGAGGTTGAAATCAGAACACGTTCCTGGTCGTATTATTTGTGATTGCTGTCTGGGAAACTCTGTGCTGGATTTGTTATCCCTCGTGGTAAGATCCTTTGTTATTTTCACTGGTTTCCTACTAAAATTGTAAAAGACTTGCACTGAGAATGTATTTAGAAATATCACATGAAGGTAGGTTGAGAATTTATTGTCTCGTGTTTCTAAGTATGGTTTTTCGAATATCACAGGTCGATGCTGAAGGCATAGGTGGCTGGCAAGCTGGTCTGAGCTGCTGCTCAATTAAATATTGTTTTTTACCTCCAGTTGGTAAGTGTTTCACATCTTATAATTGTAGGTGGATTCATATCCCTGCCTTTGTTAGTTCTACAATGTAGTGTTTGTTGGCAGGAGGTCTCCTACATACCCCCCAACAGTGTGGCTGTATACACTACGCTTGGACTGGTTTTCTCTGCTGGTTCTGAGCTCAACGCTGACCTGTGCACACAGGGCAGGTGTCTCTGCGGTGACATAGATTTAAAATAACTACCTGATTGGACTTTATTTTTTAAATTGAATTGCATAACTTTCATAATCTTAAATTAATTTAATTATCTAACCTTTTTATGGTCGCACAAAGTAATGTGTAGGTCCTATGTACTCACGACTCCCTGAGATACTTAATTGTATTTATTACAACAGTCTGTTTCTAACAGACAAGGCGCCCAACTCATTATTATTGTTATATTTTGAAAATATATTGTATCTGAGCTAGTCCAGGGATTGTAACTTTAAACTGGGGGGATGAATACAACTTCTTAACTGCTAATAAATCTTTTATTAAATCTCCCCATCATTAACTACACCATCCTATAAAAGAAACGTTACACTAATACTTTTAATTCTTAAACCTACTGTCCTAGATAACATTATTGCCATTCAAAATGGAAACATTAACGCCCGGTTTCTGAAACACAGATCATTTGGGGATGTCTTACCTTAACATCGTCCCTTCTCTTCGCCGCGTTCGCCTGTAAGTTCTGGAAACTGTGCCTCTGTCCGTCGTAGTCTACCAGCTTTCGGCCGCGCTTCTCGATTTTTTTCTGTGGCACACGAGAAACAAATGAGGTCAACGACCAGCTGCCCATCCCAGCTGCGTATTTAAACTGAGCGCATTCGCTGGTATTTACCGACCATAGCATTGATGTGGTTATCGAAGTTGTCCCCCAAGAAGACCCCAAAGCGTCATGCTAAATTGGCGTATCCAAGTGGAAACAAAAAGTCAACATCCCCACTCACCCTGACTTCGGGGAACTGGTTGGTGTAGGTGTTGAGCGGTATGAGCACTTGGTCGCCGAGCTTGTGCGAGAAGTCCTGCCACAGCATCTCCATGTTCTGCGCCTGCACGTACAGCAGGTCGTGGCCCGACCAGCTGCTCTCATACACCTCTGTTATCGCCTCCATTAGCGTCTTCGAGGCCGTCTGCACCGCTGGAATGGAGCACGTGAGATGCTATTACTATGGTTGTATTCATTAGTACTAATTTAAAGTATTTTTTTTTATTTAAGCTTTATTTTTACATCCTTAACTATGGGCTAGGTTAACAGTTGTAACTTAATGCCTAATGGCATTCTCTACCAGTCGACCTTTGGCATGATGAAAATTAGAAGGCAGGTGACATCAACCGAAGAGTAAATATAAGAAAATTGCTTTTTCAAGGTGAAAGGCCGTGCTTCTTCCTCGGACGAGCGTGCACAGAGGCAGCAGAAACGATTACCGCCGCGTAAGAACGTATAAAAAATCAGAGGGATACAAGGTTCGTTGTCAGGCTATAAAAAATTGGGCTACCGATTAGCTAACTAATGGGAGACGCAAACGCATGAACATTAACAGTGATCCATGAGGCCTCGATACTTCCCGGTATCCACAGAAGACGATTAAGTCAATACTCTAGTAATTGCAACTGTGGTAGGGCCACGCAGCAGCCTCCGCTGCTGCGCGAACGGGCTGGTCCGTCCGGGTAAGTGCAACGACCTCACAGGAAACCGGCGTGAAGTGTTATGAGTGAGGTAGCTGGTGCCCGCTTTATTAAAAGGTGGCAACGCATCTGCAACCCCACGGGTGTTTCAAATATGGGCGGCGGTTATCACTCAACATCAGGAGAACCACCAGCTTTCTATATCATCTGTCAAATTCCTCACCTCGTATACACCTTATGTAGTTGTTGAACTCCTTCTGGAGGCGCGTAGCCTGCTGGTGCTGCCGGTTGAAGTTCTGCAGGTGCTCCTCGAATATGTCGTCGAGGGTGCGGTCCACCTTGCCCAGGTTTTGGAGAAGCTAAAGATTAAAAACAAGAAACTGGTTAAACATCGATGAACATATAAAAGAGTTAACAACTATTATAAAATATTGTTAATATTGACATAAATTACAAAATTTGAATATTCATTGGATTGTAAACATACAAACATCCGGAACAAAGATGATGTACGAGGCTCGTAAGTTACGCATTTGTTTTAAATTGCTGCTAGCCCTGACAGACAAGGCCGACAGAGCTAAACTTGTCTCAATTATGGAGTTTCCTCTAGACTTTGAGGATGAAAGGAACACGAGAATTGATGAGACTCCTACTGCGGCAATCAAACAATCTTTATTTGCATCAATTACCTTTGGTTAGCCAGTATGTCTTGTGTGATTATAAATTTAAATTTTGTTATAGTGCTAATCTCTGCACTTAAGACTTAACATTAAAATTTGTAGAAGAAGTACGAAAAGATTGTCGCCGCTGTGGGAATCGAGCCCACGAGTTTTATGGTATTATTTACACAAACCTAATAAGATTATTTTATTCGACTGACCAACATCGTGCTATTTGATGTAACGACCCGCGATAAACACAATGAAACAAACATAAGCAAAATAAAACCTGCAAGTTTATAACATTGCACACACGAGTTAGAACAAACAGTTCAATAGCAGTACGTTAACAACACGACAGTGCTACGGAAATACTTGAAATTTAAGAGCGTCTTTTATTACTGCTCGTAAATCGACTCGCATAACAAACACTACTTTTCCGCGAATATATAACGAGTTCACATCAAAGGGAATGCATCATTTCCTTTCTGATTTACGTGACCCTGACTGGAATACACTTTTTGGAGTACATCGAATAGATTCGAAAAGAGTCCCGTCTTTTCGAATGTAAATAATAGCAAAAATATAAATAATAGCGAATAGCGTAAAGACGAAATAACCGGTGTACCAAATAGTTCACAATATAGCATCTACTAGGTCATTACTATAATAGTGTGACGAACCAATATAGCAAGTGACTGACATTGTCAGTTAAGTTCAGTTAGAGGTATCAAAATAATTGAGTAAATTAAGTTTATACGGTATATACATATTAAGTGTTATATAATAATTAATACAAACGGAGATTGAGATTTCTTTTCACACGTCAGTCTCTATTGCAAGTGTCATGAAACACCATACACCTTTGTCAGTTCTCGACCTTGCCAAGGCTTATGTAACATTAATCGTGGCTCCAACTGCACGAACCGAATGAGCACAATGAAGCTGGGTACATTCACTAACAAATGAGAGTACGTGGAACATGATCGCGGCGAATATTAGCGGAACGTATGTGCGTAATGCAGATGCATAATTCAGATGATTGACGTATTATTGCACGGAGAACGGAAGATGGGTGAAGCGTTACACCAAAGGATTTTAGGACGGAAAATATGTTCATGCATATCGTTGTATCTTCTTCGTCTAGCACAGTCTATTATCTGATTAGAGAGTCAGGTAGGACAATCTAACGTTCCTTAACGAAGCGAAGGTGAATTTTAACTAGGGCCGTCTACTCGGTTAGTTTTGTACTTGATGATTAAAAAGGTTCATTGAGCGCTGACAACAACAATGTAACACGCCAATTACGCGCATTTCAGTAATGGATTTCTTAAATCGGCGTGTTACGTTCATTATGCGGTCGTGAATTGATTGTTGCGCGACGCCTCCGCGGCTTATTATCGGTCATGACGAAAGTCGTGTAACTGCTCTAGGGTTGGCAGACGCTAAACGAAGAGTTCCCACCGAGTAGACGCGTACAAAACTTTTATCGAACATGATATACATAAACATCAACTACAGGGAGTACAAGAGTATCACAGTTGCTTTAAATTTCACTCTCAGTTAGCGATGAACTGAGATTTTGTGAGCTAAAACAATCAATTATTATGAGAAGAGTTTAAACTGATACTCGTTTTTTGAGTCAAAAGAATTAAATCTGCTGATCATATTTCTTATCTGACAATGCTATACAAATCTGCTTAGAACAATGTTTTACGTGTGTAATATTTTTTATCAAGAACTAAGCCACAGTAGACAGCTGTGGAATGTAAAATATGACGTAGTAATGATGTTGTAGAAATGTTGATGATACGATGTAATTTTAGGCGGTCAACGCCTTGAATCTGTCAACACCTATTCACTATAACTTAGACACGTTGAAATGCAGAATAAATTCCGATCATCAGCGTTATACGCATATGTGACTCAACCAGATGTCCTTGTGACGTATGGTACCTCCATAATGCTATAAAGCAGCCCTGCCGAAAAGGCATTAGGAGGTGTTGCGAAAGTTGTGACGCGGGATGAAATGTTAGACGCCCGTCGCGCCCACTTAGCGGGACGCGGTTAACCGGGGTCACGTAACCAACCGACCACGGTGCGAACGAATGGAACTCGAGTTTTAAGGTTATACATTCATTTAATTGTTTATCTGAACTTAGTTGTGGGCTTTCTCGGTTTAAAATGTGTTCAAAGTAAAACATTTCATGTTCAATTTAGACTCTTCAAAGCACATAATTTTTGAAATGCATGTTAAAATCTAACACCGATTCTCAAACTTATTACTCTATACTGAGAAAAACCGGTAATAAACTCTGCGATTTTATTGTATACATTGTATTTCTCAATTGTACGTCAAGCATGGTATTTCCTGGCAACCCTGTAATACTTGGTAAAATTTTACGATCAATAAATACTATGTGGCTTGTTTGCTTATCATTGAAAGAAAAAGTTGTTAAACTGAGAATTATTATACTTCGAGCAAATACGTGAAGCACACTAACATCAATAAACGGTTAAATATAATTCAAAACTGAAGACCACTATGAAACGAAATGGTAGGCAATGAAAAGAAAGTCAAGCAAACTAGTTTCTTCTTTACCGTTTTGAATCTTTTCTGTGGCAATAGGTGCCGTAATAAAAGAGAAATATGTATAGATAGACAATGGCGTTCTCATAAAACAATACGTTATTATTTTTTACACGCAAAACCGGACGAGAGTTTTAGTGCAGCTATTAATTAAACTGCAAAACTCGTTGAGCCATATTTATATTGAATGGTACGGTTGGAGAGTGAATGAGTGCCGATTTAACATAGGGTTACCGCAAGGAGATGGATTGGTGCCACAACACTTCTAGTCTGAATTGTAGTGGGTGCGCGTATTACAAGTGGTTATAGACAATGCGTTGTGGAGACTGTAGGCGACAAGGTCGCCGCGTGATACGCCAATACGGAGCCATAAGCTGCATTGCAACTTGAGGCGTTACTGGTTACAACTGGTTTGGCGGTGCAAAATGTTACTAGGGAACGCGGGTATGCTAAGCATTTGTCCGAGATTGAGGATGTTTGTTGGCGGGAAGTAATGAAAAGAAGACGGTGGTAATATTAAAACGCCGTTATTTGTTTAAACGAAAGATATGCGTGTCATTTATCGATAGTATACTATTACAGATGTCTTATGAATTGTGAATTGAGGTAAATGAAAAACGAAGATCACAGTTGTTTTATAAACCCTTTTTAGTTTATCTAACGATGGTCATACTTAACAATAAAATAACAGGGAAAAAACTGAACAGCTGACTAGCATCTTTTTAGGTAAAAATTGTTGTAATTACACTTCGAGATTATATCCTTTTTAAGACTATTTGCATAAAATAAATAAATGCAATATTAGTTAGCTCCAAAGGATTAAATTCGTCAAGTGTTTGGTATACATTAATCAAGAAAAATTTGTTTAGGCATAGAATATTCTGAAGTCCAAATCACTAAAGACGCCCGCGAGTAATTCTATTGATGATGCAATAGAACCAGATTGGCTTCTATGCAAATGTTGATAGCGGTACTTTGGAGCAAGTTAGCGGTCCCGAGTTCGATCTTTATCAGTTTATATTATTATAAAATTTCTAGGACAGTATTGAAGCCAGCTTTTGACCGCTAATACAAAATAAACGGTAGTTTTGTTGCAGTGGTGACTAATACTGTCCAAATTAAACCATTTGAAATGAATTATTAATTGAGAACCTTAAATAAGTTAACGGACCAATACCGCCGTGGATAATGGTCATAGATAAAAACACAAGTTATCGCATAGTTAATAATAAATCAAATTAGATCGGACTTGATGTCATACTATTAATGTACACACACACACTGTAGCTTTGTGGCAATGCATTCCATAAAAATCGATGTTTATCGATTTGGAAAAATATATTTCATTTCCGATGATCCGGACAAATTATTCATTTCAATCAAGATTGTAACAAAATTTCTTCGTAAAAATAAAATAAATAAATTTCTTCGTACGTGGTAAACTTTTTTATTTGTATAGTGCAGTGTACCGGTGTTCAATTTTAAGTAATTACACTCGAGCAACCCGAGTTCATATCCCGGTGCTGGCACCAATGAAATTGTACATATTAAGCATTGACTTATCACGTCTCAGAGATGAAGTAAAACATCGTGAGGAAACCGGCATAAATATTTTAGAAATAGTAACATTAAATAGATATGTCGATTTTAAGTATGTGATGTCCGCGTGGTGAACTATGCCCGAATACTTTATGTAGAGAGAAGGCCTTTTGCGCAGCAGTCGGACATATATAGGCCGTTACTTTACTTATAAAACTTTGCTAACGAATAACCCTTGGAATTTCCTTTCTGCCTACCCCTTCAACAGCGCACTTACGCAACGCTCGCGCGTGCATAGCAGACCATTAAACTCCATAACTCGATGTTTTACGGTGGCGATATTGTGACGTTACCTTCACACCCAGAACCGACAGCAATTCGTGAAATAATACGAAAGCATCTATCGTGCATGTCTGTAGTTGACTTGCCATTATGTTGACTCCACTTTTAAGTCCACATATACTTGTATGAATGTGATCGACAAATATTAGTATTAGTACTATATATGTACTGTCATAAAGTTAGTTTGTCGGAAATCCTGTTCTACGTGTATACATTATTAGGTATTTGGTTTATCACACATAGTTTTTCAAGTTTAGAACCTCTTTCCACGGACAGAGTAATCAGATTTGATTAACTCTTACCTGATTAGTATCAGATTACAATCTAGATTGTTTGAATCTATGTTTGAAGCTTGTTTTAGGAGATGAAAGTTAAGTCACAAAGTAAAAATTAGATTAGAGCGTCTAAGTAGTCTACGTACGTCCAAATATGAAACAAAAAAAACAATTAGGTAACATTATTATTCGATATTTCGTTTGTTCAGCGATCTGTCTACACTCGTCGATTTCTGAGAATAGTTTTGTTTCCACAACACAGTAAAAAGTGTGCGTAATCGCAATTGTTGCTCGAAAATATCGACTCCCGTGATTCAATTTCTGTTCCTGTAGAAAGCATGTTAATTGTTCACGTTGAATTGGAGAGAACGTCGAACTAATCGCATCGTAAAGCGATCGTTGGCGTGAAATCGTTTCGTCCACGTAATATCTGGGCAAACGGCGCTTTGTCATGCGGTCAGCGCACGCGGTGGCTCCCGCACGTGACGTCACATCCGCGGGCATCCTTTCGATTTCAATTGTCCGCGCGCGGGGCGCCTCCGATATCAACCATTGTCTGTGCCCGTCACGAGCCGCATCATACACTTGGTCAACCTTAACTCTAATCAACATGGTTCACAATTGATAACGGCTGCCGAAAAGCCCGTCGGGCCGTGTCAGTTGGCCGAAGCGGTAAGGCTGTCGACTGGATCGCAGATCATTAAACAAGCGATCGCGAACCAACGACTTCGGGTGAAGGAAACAATGAGTAATCAACTTGCACGGTTTATGTTAACGCGTAGGGTTACTGGCCGTGCAACATCGACAGTGCATCTATAAGGCACTACTATAATTGTACAGGCGTTTGCTGAGCCAGCGCGCTTATTGTCAACATCATTGCAATTTACCTAAAAATTGCTTACCGAATGTAGAATACCACAATGGCAAGACGTATCATATTTATTTATTTATTTATCATATAAATATTCTACACAGTTCTTCATTTATCAAGATATAAAATCTAATGTTTATTTCGATACAGGAACGGTACGTAAATTATATGAATGTAAAATGTATTAACTACTATCTATTTTGGATTAATCATTTAATCGTGCTGAAAAGGAACACGAAAATTGCAGCTATCATAATGGGAATTTTGCTACACGTAGTGGAAGAGTCAAAGGAAGACAAAAAAAACAAGCGATTAAACAATAAACAAACAAAAATTAGCGCTTTTATAACGTTATTATCACATTTGTGGGGGTTTAAAAGCGAATTGATTGCGGGTTACCGGACATTGGCGGACGTGATTATATGATTAAAGACGAGGAACTGTGCAAGTCGAAACATCGTAAATTTATTTATGTAGCCAATATATTAGTGTTTTCGGCATCGGCCTTGTTCAATCGTTTACCACAGTGCACGCCATCCTGCTGCAACTTTTGTAATATTTGCAAACGATACGAGACTACAATGTTGTTATATTTGTGGGTTGTTTCGTTCATCGGCTATTTTACATCAGGAATTAAAAACAAAATTAAACTTGTTGAAGTTACTGATCACGACATTACTATTGACATTTTTCCTTGTTTTTGAAGTAAAAATAGAATTCGCGCAAATATCTATTTCGCAAAGGTCTAGTTCAACTCCGTAATTCCTAGTTGATAGAAGAATTGGTACAATTACATCATATATAGGACAATTACAATAAAGGCATATTAAGTAAGGTAACAAGTAAAAGCATGCAAGAGATTAAATTATATATGCCATTAGAAGTTAATTAAGCTACAAATGGCATAACCCGAGCTACGTTCGCTTTGATTGTATATTAGAGAAACTCTGTGCAATGAGGCGTATAGCATTAGCTAAGTTCCCCTTCCATGTTTGTGAGAGCTGTAATATCTAATTTGATAAATCTCTTTAGGAACTTGATGTCATTAGTGTGGATATCGTCCTTCCCACACGGATCGAGGGGAAGCAATCAATATTTGAATAATATGATCTTGGGTCATTACGATCATGCGATAGTAGCCGCTATTGCTCTCTTCCGCAACACACTACACCTTGCTTTGCAAATGCAGTTCAATAGAAACTAAGAATACCTATAACAACCAGTGAAGAGAGAACTAATTACTTCTGAAAACTAACAAATTTAATGATAACTCAAAATGTCAATAAAATATGTTAACTACGGAGACATTCTGCTGCAAATATCCGACTTAAATTATTAATATGTTTTGTTTGCACCAAATTATTCACCGCAGCGACCTCTATTCTTGCTTCAATACGCTAGCTGATCAGACCAGAAGCGTTTCGCTCGGTAAATGTTCTTGCCGGAGTCACATCATAATATCCTTGTGTACTGAGCACTCACCATCATGTAAAGCGATTCAATGTTTCCTTCTCTTTAAAATAAAAATAGCTTTGTTATTCATGTCATGAAACCGTATATAAGGACTTTGCAAAGTGATGTACCTATAAGCAAAAAGTAGCGTGAAGACTTCACGAAAAATAATCGTCAATGAAAAATCTAAGACTCGAGGCGTTGATATGATCATTCAGAGATACGATATTATATTGTCTGCTAGGAGACTGCTGAGCGAGCGATCAATCAAATTAGCTCTGAGCTTGGTTTGGTCTTAAGATTGATTTACGAATAAGCAGCGTATAGACACCAGACCGCAAACGTGTACGCTGTACACGCCCAGCGCAGCAGAAGCTTGCAGTGCGCAACCGCCGCGTGGCATGTGCCCGCTATAAATAGCAACCAGTGCTATTCGCCGTAGTTGTTGTGCTGTTGCAATAGAAAATAACGCCCGAGCGGATGCAGTTTATGCCCAGACGTTCGGTTACTCGAACGAATGTAATTTACAAACGTAAACTTTACGTGCATGCCGCAATCTTGGATACCGGGGAATAGAGTGCCCACGCGCACTTCTGTTACCCCTTCGTTTTCCTGTTGTTTCTCTAATTTTCGCCCCTTCCTGCATGCCCCGATGTCAGTTGATAGAGAAATGTAGGTCTGTATGCGAAAACACAATACGTTAAGTACTTGATTATTACAAATTTCTAGATTGATAATGCACGCTGTCTACCTGAGTCTATTGTAATATAATCTAATACTTACTCTTAGTATTTGTAGTCTTTATTTTGTTAACTGACAACTGCAAAATGTTATATGATGGTACTAATTTTAGATCAATTATTTACAGTTTCATTGTATTATAGCAGCGCGAAGGATATAACAACGGGAATGTAAGTTAATGAAGCCCATAAAAGAGGAAATAAATAAAAACTTAATTAGTAACAGTGGTTAACCTCAACGGTTCAACAATAATGAGTGCAATTGAACAAATAAATAATAATCGTAACGATAAATAATTAATTACACATTAATCCATACGAGCAGGGCTTATGGGGCACACCTGTTTACGCAATAAAACGATGAAACTTCATAGACATCATGTAGACAGTTTGGAAGTGTTTACACTGCAAAATGCAAAATGGAGGCGAAGAAGAGTTCTGAAGCAACAAGTCAGATGGGGTGAACAGTCGCTAGTTGGGTTGAAGTAGGTCATCAGACGGCGGGACAGTTTGGAAGCTTTCCAATCACAGTTCGGGAAATAGCATGGCCGATACGATCTTTGAAGAGCGTAGACGTAAGCCTGAAGTAAATTGGCGTACGAACAAATGAGTTTAGTTTTATAAAGTGGTTTACTGAGTTTTAGATTACTATCAACGCTTCTTTGGGATTTTAGTGATGATTATATAGTAAAGTAACTTTTTGGTTTTAAATTAACGTAGTATTGAGTCACGTCGCACTTGAATTTTAGAGTACCACCCATAACGCTTTTTCGGGATTTTAATAACAGTTATGTGCTGCCGTCACTATTTTATACAATGTGCCTGCGATAAATTTTGTACGTGGATATAAAATTATGTCTCTGTGGACTTTCGTGCAGTAATGGGATAGAATATACGCAAATATCACCTTGGTCTGGATATTATTAGCGACGCCTCAAGAAGTTGATGAAAACTTAAGCCATACTTAGATGACGCATCACAAAGTCAGCATTCGCGTGTGTATGGTGATGGCGAGAGAAATTGGACGAAGAAAGAATTCATGGTTACACATCCTAGAATGGACTAGCCAGTGTAGCTGAGCTATTCCGCGAAGCTAAAAAAATGGAAGACTTTAACAGGCCGATAGCTAACCTTCACTAAGAAGAATAATAAGTATAGAGATGAAACTGGTAATAACGTACTGGTCAAACGTCGGGTCGGGGACTACGGTCCGCAGAACGCGGTAATTGACGTTTTCCACAATACAAGTGGCGGCAATCATGCAATAAAGGTGACCGGTGAACGACACGTGAGCGATCCACTGGAGGAAAGCTGACGTTTGCCGCCTCAAGGGCGTAACACTGAACAGAGACAATATCGTGCTGTTTGTTGAGACGTATCGCCGTCGCCCGCCGTATGAAACGGCGACGTGACGTCCGAAACAATGGGCATTTATCTCTCCGATGACGGTGGCGTTGCATCAGCGACTCTTGCACAATCGATTTTGTATGTACACGCGTGAAATTGAATTGCGCATTTGCATGTAGTGATCGATCGATGATCTTACAAGCGAATTTCTTTAAAGCCACAAGCGGACACTCTCGCTATGTGCTAAGCGATTCGGGTCGAGGCGAAAATATTTTTAATCGCACGTATC